ATATATATATATATATATATATATATATATATATATATATATATATATATATATATATATATATATATATATATATATATTTAAAAATTAGTTTAAATAACAATTCAAAAACAAAAATAGAAATAAACATTTATTCTTAATACATCAAAATATATTATGTGATGTATTAATTTCAAATTATGGTGATTCTATGTAAATAACATTAATATTGAACGCAAAACAAAAATATATAACTATAGCAATTTTAATAATTAAATAAAATTTAATATTATATGTATCCAAATTTTATTTATTTATTTATTATTACTATTTTGATATTTATTTTTTATTTTATAAAAATGAACAAATGACAAATATGTTTATGACAAAGAACTTAAATGCACATAGGTCCAGACAAAAAATGGTCTCGCAAGTAAACTCATCCCCATGTCTTTTGTCTAAAGTACTCCTCATAATATAATTTCCATCAATTCCACTCATTGCACTCTAACTTTATCAATATTGCACATTGACCGTGAATTTCAACAAATATATCACGTTAACCTTCATTTTCATAATTTTTGGAAATATATATTTTTTTTCTCAATTTTTTTTCCAATCAGATTCCGGCGTTGACCGCACATTTCTCTGACGTCGATTTTTAATTATTTCTTTATTTTATGATATTTTTTTCTGGCCGGTTAACCGGCCTTGACTATTTTATTTTTTTATCTTTTTTCTCTCTAAATTACAGCGCTAACAATAAAATTATTGTATGAGATAGTACTATTGAATGCCAAACAGTAATATTAATGTATGAGATATTAATATTACGGTCAAAGACAGTAATATTACGGCCGAATATAGCAAAATTACAGGTCAACACGATAAAATTAATTAATGCAGTAAAATTATTTTTTCAATCAAAATACTGACTCAGACAGTTAAATTGCTGTCTCCGACAGTAATATTACTGTTTTGGGCGCAATATTATTGTTTGAGACAGTAATATTGCAGGCCAAGACAATAACATTATTGGAAATAATTTTTTTTAAGAAAAAAAAGGTTTTAAAAGAAAACCAACGCTGGAGAACCGCGCGGTCAACACCGAAATCTGGCCAGAAAAAAAGAAGTTTAAAAAAAAAAAGTCAACGGTAGCTGACTGACGGTCCCCTATGGTGGCGAGTAAAATTGGGGTCAAAATTAGAATAAGGGCCCAAATTGATTAATTGGTAAAATTTGTCTAAAGTGGGTGTAAATCAAGAAATTGGAGTTGAATTAGGTTTCAAGGAGTTGGTGGTAATTTTAGTATATATAAAAGAGTTTTCCTTATTTGCAAATAAATTTGAATGAACTGGATTTATTTACAAGACAAAAAAGTTGAATGTCCCACTTTTAATTAAGTGCTCTTAATTTAACTTTGTTCCTCCCGCTGTTCAGACCGTTCCGGCGCCCGTCCCGGTTGTGGCTACGTCTCGCCCATCCCAGTGTTCCACTGCGTCAATGGGAAACAAACGGTTTTGTTCGAAATTCCGGAAAGACGGTGATGGGGATCAGTTTGTCAAGTTTGGGCCAAACTCCCCGTATTGAGCTTATTAAATAGTATAAGGATTAAATGTATGGGTCGAAAGATATTTATTGGGCCCACCGACTCAATACACGTCAAAGACAAGGTCTCTTTAGAAGCTTGTGGCTAAATAGCTCGCCAACCCATCCGAACATGCTAAGAGACAAATTAATGAGGTAGGTGACAAGGTGAATGAGAGCCGTTGGGAAAAGAAGACCAAGAAGATGTACTCTTTAAATAGATAAGGAAAACATGTCAATTAAGAAGAGTAATTGAATAATCAATGTAATTAGACAAATAAAGAGATCCTAAATTAGGAAATGTCTAACTAGAAATCCTCTATATAAATATATGTAAAAACCCGATTAAGGGTACGATCACAACATCAATAAAGAATATTTTTATACTCTTTTCCAAGTTCTCTCTCTCATATCCATTCTTTCCGTTCATCATGTCACCATCTCGGTCCAAAATCCGATGTCTGGTGTGCTTTCTGACGGTCATAAAGGAATAGGGTTTGGAGTGAGGTCTTGAGGGTGTAGATCATACGCCATCAGGCAGGCACCGTTCCCGTTCCATTCCAACGCCGTTCCATTCCAACGCCGTTCCGTCTACAGCAAATCTATGTTGGCACTAATTACTTATTAGGACAAATGGCAAAAAGGCCCATCACATGGGACTTAAATGCATTTTGGTCCACAAAAAAAACAGTCTCTCAATTAAGCCCATCCCCATGTCTTTACTCTAAAATACCCTCAATAATATAATTCTTATCAATTCCACCCAATATGATCTAACTTTCTTAATATTACACATTGACCCCGGATTTAAACAAATATATCACATTAACCCCCAAAACTTTTTTTTTTCGAAATAATTTTTTTTCTGAATGTTTTTTTTCCGGCCAGATTCCGGCAAGATTCCGGCGTTGGCCGCCGGAGACCGCCGGTCTCCGGCGTTGACTTTTTTTTTTTTTTTTTTTTTTTTGAAATTTTTTTTTCCTGAATTTTTTTTCCGGCCAGTCAACCACCGTTGACCGCCGGTCTCCAGCGTTGACTTTTTTTTTTTTTTTTTTTTTTGAAATTTTTTTTTCCGGCCGGTCAACCACCGTTGACCGCCGGTCTCCGGCGTTGACTTTTTTTTTTTTTTTTTTTGAAATTTTTTTTCCTGAATTTTTTTTCCGGCCGGTCAACCACCGTTGACCGCCGGTCTCCGGTGTTGACTTTTTTTTTTTTTTTTTGAATTGTTTTTCCTTAGAAAAAAAATATTTTAATTAATATTACTGTCTTGACTACTAAATTACTGTCTCAGACAGTAATATTACTGTTTGGGACAGTAATATTATGAATATTATTTTTCCGAACAATAATATTATTAATATTATTGTTTAAGACAGTTAAATTACTGTTGGAGACAGTAATTTAACATCCAAGACAGTAATATTAATTAAAATAAATTTTTTTTAAGGAAAAAAATAAATTAAAAAAAAAAAAAAAAAAAAAGTCAATTAACAGTTAAATTACTGTCTCCGACAGTTAAATAATTGCTGGAGACAGTAATTTAGCAACGAATACAGTAATATTAATTAAAAATATTTTTTTTAAGAATAAAAAAGTCAATTAACAGTTAAATTACTGTCTCCGACAGTTAAATAACTGCTGGAGACAGTAATTTAGCAACGAATACAGTAATATTAATTAAAAATATTTTTTTTAAGAATAAAAAAGTCAATTAACAGTTAAATTACTGTCTCCGACAGTTAAATAACTGCTGGAGACAGTAATTTAGCAACGAATACAATAATATTAATTAAAAATATTTTTTTTAAGAATAAAAAAGTCAATTTACAGTGAATTACTGTCTCCGACAGTTAATACTGCTGGAGACAGTAATTTAGCAACGAATACAGTAATATTAATTAAAATATTTTTGAAGAAAAAAAAAAGAAACAGTCAATTAATAGTAAAATTACTGTCTCCGACAGTTAAATAGCTGCCGGAGACAGTAATTTAGCAGCCAAGACAGTAAAATTAATTAAAATATTTTTTTTAAGAAAAAAAAAAAAAAAAAAAAAGTCAACGCCGGAGACCCGACAGTCAACGGCCGTTGACCGGCCGGAAAAAAATTCAGGAAAACAAAATTCAAAAAAAAAAAAAAAAAAAAAAAAAAAAAAAGTCAACGCCGGAATGTGGCCGGAAAAAAAATATTTCAGAAAAAAAATTATTTTCAGAAAAAAAAAAGTTTTGGGGGTTAATGTGATATATTTGTTAAAATCCGGGGTCAATGTGTAATATTAAGGAAGTTAGAGAATAATTGGTGGAATTGATAAGAATTAGGGTTAAAATTGGGGTCAAAATTGAAATTAAGGGTTAAAATTGGTTAATTGATGAAATAGGGCTAAATTGGGGTGTAAATCATGAAATTGGAGTTGAATTGGGTTTCAATGAATTAGGGGTAATTTTGGTATATATAAAAGGATTTCCCTTATTTGCAAATAAGTTGAAATGGGGTGGATTTATTTGGAAGACAAAAAAATTGGATGTCCCTATTTTAATTAAGTGCCCTTGTCATGGGCTTTTTTGTGATTACCCCTACTTATTAACTATTTGGATCTAAGAAAAACACAAACTAACTTTCCCGATAACGTAATCGATTCATGCCCTTTAATTTCTTTATACAGGTTACAGAATCATGCCAAAGTTATATTTATAAATATACATTGCATGCTCATCTGATGTTTTCTTTTTCTTTCTCCCATTAATTTGCATTTTATTTTATTTGCCAACAAACAAATTCATGTGCTAGCTGTTACGTAGGGGTGGCGTAAAAACGATTGTTTTAGTCCAATCCCATGAATTATGTACCTCTAATGAACTACTACTATATACATACAGAATGACACTAATTGATGTCATGATTAATAATAAAAATTTGTTCCTTCAGTAAGAAATCCAAACATATTAATACATTATCATTAATCCTGATGTTTACAAATCACGAAACATATTTTGTAATTCAACTTTGTACAAAACAACAAAAGTATTAATTTGGCAGCTCAAACAAAACTAGCTAGTAATTGATATTAATTCAATATCAATTATCAAACTGATCAATTCAAACCTCGATCTAATCATCCTCGTTCGGACAACCTCAATGATATTCGTTTATAACCTTCATCGATGCGCTCAACAAGAACTATAACAACACAGCAACTTCTTACGACTATTTATCTTTACTCAACAATAATAGCACATAATTATACCATTGAAATTAACATATCATTGAAATTAAATTATATATATATATATATATATATAAACCACGTTCGTTGAATTAACTTCACCATGTTACCTATTGAATAAATTAAAGTAATGTATTGCTAACAATTTTGGCATATAACCTTACTCTAGCATTATTCTTATCGTCGTCTTTATTGAACACGTACGGTAGCTTTTCATCCGATCAGGGGTACTACTTTCTTGACATTAATTTTCTTCCACGACTCCGAAATCAAATCTTTGTACTGTCCGAAGGTAAGACCCGGTTTCTCTTCCTTCAACCTCTCCAGCTCAGCATCTTCAAAAACCTATTTATATATATATAAACCCTAAATAGTAAATTTCATGTTCTTAAATCTTAATTAATTATCTGTAATTAATTAAAAGCAAATAAAAGAATACACAAAATATAATTATAATTTGAGATTTCATGTAATAAATACCTTAAACAATCTATTTTGCCTCTGATGAAGCTTATCCACCACCATCATCTGTTCAATAGCCTCCTCCACCGTCCTCCCCTCGATAACTGAATCATCACGATTCGTATTTGCCATGGTAACAATCTTAAGGTAGTCGTTCTCGTCGACCATGCGCCTTTGCTTCATCTCGTCCTCGTGCGAGCGCTGCTTCAGCTCCAAATAATTCATCTCCCTCGACCGCTCCAGTTCGGCCTCCGTCACCTTAATTTTGCTTCTCTCAAGTTGCTTGGCTTCTTGTTTGGCTAGTAGGCGGGTCTCGGCTTTCCTGGCGGCGGCGTCTGCTCGCTTCTCGGCTTTCATGGCGGCGGCCTCTGCTCGCTTCTCGGCTTTCTCTTCCCGTCTCTTTGCAGCCCACGACATGGTTTCATCGTCCCCTTCGTGCTGGTAGGGTACGATCTCCTCCTTTTTGACACTGGTGCTGCTTTTTCTCGCCTTAGTCGCAGCGGCTAATTTGCCGTTAACTCCCATATTTTTCTTCATAATTATTTTTAGGTTTTGTTGAAGAAAATTAGGTTTCCCCAAGAAGAAAAAGAAAACTGCGTAACTACGAATTTTTATTTTTGAATGAAGAGATCATCTATATATTAATATAGTATATATAGATGTTGCCCTGATGCCTTTAATTAAGGAATCTGAAAGATCATCTAAGCTGTCTTAATTAAGGACTTCTAACTTGGAAAGAGTTTTAAAGATTATCTATGTTCCCTTAATTAACGAGTTTTCATAATTAAATATTCGATTAAATAAACCTCTATTCTTGCACCAAAAGGCGAAATCCCTCGCCCCCAGGGCCCCCATCCCTTGGCCCGACAAGGATTGATGGAGGAATGTAAATCATGGTAACTCAACGGCCCGTTAAGGTAGCGGACCCGGACCTGGTGCCCACAAGGAACCAATCTCATTGGAGTTGAAATTCCCACACTGCGGCTGCCAGGATTCGATCCTAGGACCTTGCACCAACTTACCACCTCCGGAACCAGTTGAGCTACACCCATGCGGGCAATAAACCTCTATTCTTCAATATGGAGTGCGTGATGCTTACCCATCAAGTATCAAATAAAAATAATATATTATATTAAATTATATAATATATTATTTAATACATATTATATTAAATAAAACTAATATATTATATTATTTAATAAAATTAGTGATATAAAATAAACCTCTATTCTTCGAGGGGTAATGGCAAATAGGCCCATGACAAGGGCACTTAATTAAAATAGGGACATCCAATTTTTTTGTCTTTCAAATAAATCCACCCCATTCAAACTTATTTGCAAATAAGGAAAATCCCTTTATATATACCAAAATTACCCCCAATTCATTTGAAACCCAATTTAACTCCAATTTCATGATTTACACCCCAATTTAGCCCAATTTCATCAATTAACCAATTTTAACCCAAATTTCAATTTTGACCCCAATTTTAACCCTAATTCGTATCAATTTCACCCATTATGCTCTGACTTCTTTAATATTACACATTGACCCCGTATTTTAACAAATATATCACATTAACCCCCAAAACTTTTTTTTTTCAGAAAATAATTTTTTTTCTGAAATATTTTTTTTTCCGGCCAGATTCCGGCGTTGACCGCCGGAGACCGCCGGTCTCCGGCGTTGACTTTTTTTTTTTTTTTTTTATTTTGTTTTCCTGAAATTTTTTTCCGGTCGGTCAACGGCCGTTGACCGCCGGGTTTCCGGCGTTGACTTTTTTTTTTTTTTTTTTCTTAAAAAAAATATTTTAATTAATTTTACTGTCTTGGCTGCTAAATTACTGTCTCCGGCAGCTATTTAACTGTCGGAGACAGTAATTTAACTGTTAATTGACTGTTTTTTTTTTTTTTTTTTCTTCAAAAATATTTTAATTAATATTACTGTATTCGTTGGTAAATTACTGTCTCCAGCAGTTATTTAACTGTCGGAGACAGTAATTTAACTGTTAATTGACTTTTTTATTCTTAAAAAAATATTTTTAATTAATATTACTGTATTCGTTGCTAAATTACTGTCTCCAGCAGTTATTTAATTGTCGGAGACAGTAATTTAACTGTTAATTGACTTTTTTATTCTTAAAAAAAATATTTTTAATTAATATTACTGTATTCGTTGCTAAATTACTGTCTCCAGCAGTTATTTAACTGTCGGAGACAGTAATTTAACTGTTAATTCACTTTTTTATTCTTAAAAAAAATATTTTTAATTAATATTACTGTATTCGTTGCTAAATTACTGTCTCCAGCAGTTATTTAACTGTCGGAGACAGTAACTTAACTGTTAATTGACTTCTTTTTTTTTTTTTAATTTTTTTCCTTAAAAAAATTTATTTAAATTAATATTACTGTCTTGGATGTTAAATTACTGTCTCCAACAGTAATTTAACTGTCTTAGACAATAATATTAATAATATTACTGTTCGGAAAAATAATATTCATAATATTACTGTCTCAAACAGTAATATTACTGTCTGAGACAGTAATTTAGTAGTCAAGACAGTAATATTAATTTAAATATTTTTTTTCTAAGAAAAAACAATTCAAAAAAAAAAAAAAAAAAAAAAAAAGTCAACGGTGGTTGACCGTCCGGAAAAAAAAAGCAGGAAAAAAAATTTCAAAAAAAAAAAAGTCAACGCCGGAGACCGGCGGTCTCCGGCGGTCAACGCCGGAATCTGGCCGGAAAAAAAAACAGTTCAAAAAAAAAATTATTTTCTGAAAAAAAAAAGTTTTGGGGGTTAATGTGATATATTTGTTTAAATCCGGGGTCAATGTGTAATATTAAGGAAGTTAGAGCATAATGGGTGGAATTGTTAAGAATTATATTATTGAGGGTATTTTAGACTAAAGACATGGGGATGGGCTTAATTGAGAGACTGTTTTTTTTGTGGACTAAAATGCATTTAAGTCCCATGTGATGGGCCTTTTTGCCATTTGCCCATTCTTCAATATGGAGTGCGTGATGCTTACCCATCAAGTATCAAATAAAAATAATATATTATATTAAATTATATAATATATTATTTAATACATATTATATTAAATAAAACTAATATATTATATTATTTAATAAAATTAGTGATATAAAATACATCATTAATATATTATATGTAAGCATAATGCATTATATTATTATTTTTATATTTGATTATGATTATTTTAATTTATTTTCAATGTTTTATTCTTTTAACCAGAAATTGTTATTTATAAATCATAAAATTGCATAAATTTAAAATATTGATGATGCTAATTACTTAGATAACCTAGGGTAGTGTAGAAAACGAGCTGGGAGAGCAAAGCTGATCAGTAGCTTGACAACTTGATGATCCTGAGGTCCCTGCGAAATGAGCACACGTGAACTAAGCCGGGGGTTGATCCGGCGGAAACCCCTCCGACGCTCTAGTCAGATGTACGGATCGTAGAAAAATAGTAGAGAGAATAAGCACTCTAGACTGTTGATCAATAATAGAACGTACCTTAACAAATGATTAAAACATCTATTTATATGTCGTTGATTGGGTTGGGCTTATTTTGTTGGGCCCAAGCCTTATTTTGAAGGTGCTTGGGCCTTCGTGTAGTGGGTCCAATTATAGGTGCTTGGGCTTTCGTGTATTGGGCCTAATTATTAGATAAATTGGGGGCCCATTGGGTCGGCCCAATTAGGTATATCATTAAGCCCCCCAACTCTCGAGTCGATATGGGAGACTTGTCGAGGGGAATCCGGCTCGTGTCGAGAGTTAACTATGTTGTGGTTTGACTAGTTTCCCTTGGCGTTGAATTGATCTCCTTAGTTAAAGAAGGAATAATCGTATTTATTTGGCAGCGAGGTATATATTTAAGGGTTTTAAATCATATACCAGGGTCAGATAAATAGACTCCTTTTGCGGTGGAGAGAATTAAAGTTCAACTCCTGTGTAATAAATATGGGTAAGTATTTTTAACTTTGGGTCTTCTTCTGTGCTCTTGCTTCTCTAAAATTTTTTTGTGGTAGAGTAGAAGTTTTTTGTATCTTGATTGTTTCTTCGGAGAATTTTTTTTATCATGTCGAATCCGAAAAAATCGAAATCCTTGCGAATTAAAATTCGAGATCCGGTCGAAAGGGGCGAGAAAACTTTTGGTACCGTGGGTATGGAACGCGAGAAGGTAGTAGTATCGGGTGCGGAGATCGGTACGTCGTCGGCTATAGCACGTAATGAGGTGGAGAGGGGGGTAGTTGGCCGGGTGGCTGCAGCCGTGGGCTTGAGCCGCGCCGGTGGCCTTGTGGATGTGTGTGGTAGCGCGCGCCCCGAGGGTTCTCCGAAGCCGAGCCGAGTTGCTGAGTTGGCGGCTGGCACAGAGTCCGAGGAGAGGAGAGAGAAACGTGGAGTGGGGGACCGTGTGCAGGGCGTGTCGAGCGTGCTACCACGCGCGCGTCTGATTGGTGCGTGCGTGGACGCGCGCGCTCGGGGGGGAGGGGTGGGGTCGGTGGCTGACGCGCGCGCGTCAATGGGGGGGGGGGGGTGCTTTTGGTAAACCCCCCCGCCCCTCCCAAGGGGGATGGGGCGCGTGAACCCCCATTAATTGGTGGTGCGTGCGCGCGTGAGAGCGCGTCTGGGCCCCGTTTTCGGCGCGATTCGCGCGAGCGGGTCGGGGTCTCGGAGTTGGCAGTTGACGTCGAAGATGATGTGAGTCGGAGGAGTTTGGGTCGGCGAGAAATCATTGATCCTTGGAGTGATGATTTGGAGTCTAATATTAATATTCGCTCTACTGTTGACGAAGAGGGTTCTAGTAGACGTCGTTATAGGCGTCAAGTTGTGGATTTTGGGAGTGATAGCGATGAGTCACATCACTCACATTCGGCGAGTGGGCATGCGGTGCCGAGTAGTGAAGTTGATCCGATGGTCGAAGTGGAGAAGGAAGATGATATTCCGCCGGGTGATGTTGAGATTGATACGAGGAGGCAAAAGAAAATTAAGCCAATAAATTTTGACTTAATTGATTTTGATAGTGTATTGACGGAAGAGCATTTGCAGTCTAATGTGGTTCGGATACAATTGTACCCTACATCCATGAGGATATGCAAAAAACGAATATTCACTATTTTAGTTTTACAAGCACAATATTAGGACTTATAAAATAAATTAAAGACTCCATCTTTATCTTGGCGCCATTCTTGTGCAATACTCAAAACTAGTAACTCCGATTATGCCAGCCTTCTCTCCGCTCGGTGGAACTCCCTTCAACGTTGAATCCCTTCAGTCAACGGATCGATCTTCTCCGAGATCTATTTAAACCCCTCTACCGAAGAACCGATCTTCTTTTTGTATAGAAGAAGCAAACTTGTGATAATCCTTAAATCTTGATGTCTTCACCACAAAGCCTTGAAGCTGATATATTTTCTATATGGAAATCACGTATCACGATGGAGCAATAAAACGAGAGGAAAAAAATATTTTCTCAGAACTCTTGTCTCAATAAAAAAAAAGGCACACA